TTAATTTTAAATTACAATAACAAGTATAATTAAATACTAATAATCAATAAATAATTTACAATCTATAGGATTTTTTAAATAAAAAATTTAGTTGATTTTAATTATAATAACAAATACAATTAAATACTAATAATTAATTTAATAAAAATAACTTACCCACTAATAAAATTTATTTTTTTAAATAAAAAATTTAGTTTACTTCAAATTACAATAACAAATATAATTAAATACTAATAATTAATAAAAATAACTTACTATCTATAGGATATTTTAAATCAAAAATTTAGTTAATTTTAAATTACAATAACAAAAATAATTAAATACTTATAATTAATAAAAATAACTAACCATCTATAGGATTTTTAAATAAAAATTTAGTTAACTTTAAATTACAATAACAAGTATAATTAAATACTAATAATTAATAAAATAACTTACCATCTATAGAATTTTTTAAATAAAAAATTTAGTTGACTTTAAATTACAGTAATAAATATAATTAAATACTGAAAGTAAATAAAAATAATTTACGTTCTATAGGATTTTTTAAATAAAAAATTTAGTTGATTTTAAATTACAGTAATAAGTATAATTAAATACTAATAATCAATTCAATAAAAATAACTTACCTTCTATTATATTATTAATTTATTTTTTTAAATAAAAAATTTAGTTAACTTTAATTTATAATAACTAACAGTATAATTAATTACTAATAATTAATAAAAATAGCTTACCATCTATAGAATATTTTAAATAAAATATTTAGTTAACTTTAAATTATAATAACAAGTATAATTAAATACTAATCAATAAAAATAATTTACCATCTATAGGAATTTTTAAATAAAAAATTTAGTTGTCTTTAATTTGTAGTAACTAACAGTATAATTAAATACTAATAATTAATAAAAATAGCTTACTATCTATAGGATTTTTTAAATAAGAAATTTAGTTAACTTTAAATTACAGTAACAAGTATAATTAAATACTAATAATCAATAAAAATAACTTACAATCTATAGGATTTTTTAAATAAAAAATTTAGTTAATTTTAAATTACAATAACAAGTATAATTAAATACTAATAATTAATAAAAATAACTTACATACTAATAAAATTTAAATAAAAAATATTATTGACTTTAAATTACGATAATAAGTATAATATATGCTGATAATCAAAAATAACTTACATCCTAATAAAATTTAAATAAAAAATTTAATTAACTTTAAATTATAATAACAAGTATAATTAAATACTAATAATCAATAAAAATAACTTACCATCTATAGGATTTTTTAAATAAAAATTTAGTTGATTTTAAATTACAGTAACAAGTACAATTAAATATTAATAAACAATTCAATAAAAATAACTTACCCTCTAATAAAATTTATTTTTTTAAATAAAAAATTTAGTTGATTTTAAATTACAGTAACAAGTATAATTAAATACTAATAAACAATTCAATAAAAATAATTTACCCTCTAATAAAATTTATTTTTTTAAATAAAAATTTAGTTAACTTCAAATTATAATAACAAGTATAATTAAATACTAATAACTAATAAAAATAACTTACTATCTATAGGATATTTTAAATCAAAAATTTAGTTAATTTTAAATTACAATAATAAGAATAATTAAATGCTGATAATCAATAAAAATAACTTACTATCTATTATATTATTTTATTTTTTAAATAAAAAATATAGTTGACTTTAAATTACAATAATAAGTATAATTAAATACTGATAATTAATAAAAATAATACATCTATAGGATTGTTAAATAAAAAATTAAGTTGATTTTAAATTACAGTAACAATTATAATATAATACTAATAATCAATAAAAATAACTTACATCTTAATAAAATTTAAAAAAAATTTAATTGACTTTAAATTACAGTAACAAGTATAATTAAATACTGATGATTAATAAAAATAACTTACTATCTATAGTATTTTTAAATAAAAAATTTAGTTAAATTTAAATTATAGTAAAAAATATAATTAAATACTGATAATTAATAAAATAACTTACTGTCTATTATATTTTTAATTATTAATTATTTTTTATATAAAAAATTTAGTTGACTTTAAATTATAGTAAAAAGTATAATTAAATATTATTAATTTATAAAAAATAATTTACCATCTAATATATTATTAATTAATAATTATTTGTTTAAATAAAAATTTTAATTAAGTTTAAATTACAGTAAAAAGTATAATAAATACTAGTAATTAATAAAAATAATTTACAATCTATTATATTATTAATTATTAAATATTTATTATTTAATAAAAAAATTTAATTAATTTTAAATTACAATAAAGTATAATTAAATATTGATAATCAATAAAATTTACTTACAATCTATATTTTTTAAAAATAAAATATTTAGTTGATTTTAATTAAATACTAATAATTAATAAAAATAACTTACATCCTAATAAAATTTAAAAAAATTTAGTTGACTTTAAATTACATAACAAGTATAATTAAATACTGATAATTAATAAAAATAACTTACTATCTATAGTATTTTTTAAATAAAAAATTAATTGACTTTAAATTATAATAAAAATTATAATTAAATAATAATAATAATAATCAATAAAAATAACTTACCTCCTAATAAAATTTATTTTTTTAAATAAAAATTTTAGTTAAGTTTAAATTATAATAAAAAGTATAATTAAATACTAATAATTGATAAAAATAACTTACTGACTATTATTTTATTAATTATTAATTATTTTTTTAAATAAAAAATTTAATTAAATTTAACTTACAGTAAAAAGTATAATAAATACTGATGATTAATAAAAATAACTTACTCGCTTTAATAATATTTTATTTTTTAAATAAAAATTTAGTTAACAATAAAAAAGTATAATTAAATACTAATAATAACTTACTCACTAATATAATTTATTTATTTATATAAAAATTTAGTTGACAATAAAAAGTATAATTAATACTGATAATCAATAAAAATAACTTACTGTCTATTGTATTATTAATTATTAATTAATTTTTAAATAAGCAATTAAATTAACTTTAAATTATAATAATTAATTAATTAATATCTTACTTTCTGTAATATTATAAATAATATTAATAATTTTATTTAAATATAATAAAAATTTATAAAAATAATTTACCATCTACATTATTAATATTTTATTTTTAATAATTAAGTTTAAAGTATAAAAAATAGTATAATTAAACATAAATTATTAATATAAATAATTTACCATCTAAAATATTATTAATTATTAAAAATTTTAATAAAATAAATAAATCAAATCAAATTTAAATTAAAATATAAAAAATAAATAATTTACTCCCTATAGTATTATTTATTATTAAATATTATTTAAATAATAGTTTAATCAAATTAAAATTATATTCTTATAATATAATAAAAATTAAATAGCTTACAATCTAAATATTATTATCCATTAAATTTTTTTTTAAAAAATATTAATTATTAAATAATTGTATAAATAAAAAAAATAAAATAATGTTTATTACCATTTAATTCTTTTAATGTAGGAATAATATTAGAAGTATCTGTAATTGGATCTAATATAATATATATATTTTTAAAATTAATTACTAATGTTATAGCAAAATCTAATATTTAAATAATTTATTTTTATTTTAACATCTAAATTAATAAATTATAATATTTATAATTAATTATATTTGCTATTATGCTTACCTTTATTACTTGAAACTAATTTTATATTAAATAAAAACATAATTAAAGAATTAACAATATATAGTTAGAATTAATTTCATAATAATTTGTTCAAAATATAATTTAATTAATAAAGAATTATATTTTGATTTAAAAATAGATTATAGATAGATAAAAATATATTACCATTTAATTCTTTTAATGTAGGAATATTTGAAACTGGCTCTAATATAATGTATTTATTTTTGAGAAATTTTTGAAATTAATTACTAATTATACAGTATATTTAAACGTTTATAATAAATGGTATTACCTTTTATTTCTTTTAATGAGGATGTTTCCTTAGCATCTGAAACTGGCTCTAATGTGAACTTAGGTTTTTTTTTTAAAAGAAATTTTTTATTGTCAGACATTTTATAAATTTATAAGAAAGAGAGAAAATATTTTTTTTTCAAAATGTACGATCATTTATGTGTTGTACAACGATATTAGGAATGAAGATCTTACCGCTACTCGTTGTTAAAAAGTTCTTTGGCTATTCAGCCATTTCTATACTTCATAAAGTTCATACTACTTCATCAGTTGTTGTAAGTGCTTTTTTTTTGTATTTTAGCGATATAGCAACGGATTGGGATAAGTTTTCTTTTTTTGATAAATATAAATTAAATAGGCGATAAACTCCGCATGAGTATTTTCTATTTTTATACAAATCCATCGTGTTTTTTTACTGCGGCAACAATTATGATATAAATTTCGTTCTAGATAATTTTTTTTTTTTGTTCTACTTTATGATTTTGCGCCAATTATTGGATATTAAGAGCTAAGATTTGTTTACGAAGGCGATATTCTATAATTAAAAGTATTTTCCAATTCATCGACATTTCGTTTAAAAATTATGGAAGTAAAAAACGTTTTTTTTCTTTCTGAGAGTGATTATCATTTAAGGTTAAAAATTAATAGCTTTTTCAATCAAAACTTCAAGACGATTATTTTATCGGATTATTTCTTCGAAGTGTATCTAAGGCATTGTATAGTTATCTTGTTTAAATTTTGTTTATAACAAGTATATAGTTCTTAGTGAATTTTAATAAATATAACGAACATAAAAATTTTGAAACTATTTATTTACATCTGTTGGTGAAATTAACAAGTCGGTATATAGAAGGTCTCTGAAATAAATGATACCCCCAATTACGAAGGGCATTTATGTTGAAATTTGCAATCTTTAGCTAAAGAGTATTATACATTGTCAAAAATTTTATGAGACCGATAAAATTAATGCATGTTGGAAAATGAACGTGTTAGAATAGAACAAGTTCATTACGTTCCTAACGTTAATATTTTGGTATTAGAAGCTGGTCCACAGAATTCACAAATTAATGATATACATACATTTCCCTCGGTAAGTGTTTTTAGTATCAAATACTTTATATTATCCTTTGGATTAACGATTTATTATAAATAGGCTTAACGAGAAAATGGAGTAAATTGGGGATATCGAAAAGAAGGTAACCGTATGCTGAACACGAGGAAGGTTATTGTTTGTTTTAAATAAAATGGGCAGTTGCTATTAAATCACGTTACAGAACATATGATTAATATGTCTCGTAACTTCATTTTCAATAGCAAATGACCCGAATGAACTAACACAGATAGTATTTATGTTATATACTTCATATAAATGTTTGATCAATGTAAATTATTTATATAAATATAATTAATGGATATTATACGGTGAATTATTTATATTGGTATACGTCAAATTGAGAATTTAATTTTACGCCACCTTAAAATTATTTTATCAAAATTTTAGTTAATTTTATTCTTCCGCATAAATATATTAAAAAAATTGAATTAAGCTATCAACTTTTAATTTATATCTCTCTTCAAGTGGCTAGACCTACAAATTTGATTGGTTCATCACTATTTTTATCATTTAAAAACTACAATAAAATCTTTCATTTTTTAATAGTTTTGATAATTAATTAGTACAGTTCAAGGTTTCAAGTGTAAAATATTTTATAAATAATTACAACATACGCGTTTTTCGTTCGTGTTTTATAGTAATTTTAATGATTTGGTCAAACTAAACAGCACAGCGAATTGCCGTTCATAAGGTATTGAAATACTTGCATAAGGTTTTCTTTTTTTTAACTTCCAAGACATAATTTGAGAACTTTAATAGAAAATAAGCAAGATATGCTTATGTTGAGTTGTTCAGCGGGTATTAAATTCATGGTCATTAATTTTTCATGATAATAGCTTAAATAGTTGCGGAGTTATAAATTTTGGTAATGAAAAGTTTTATTTAAATTATATTAAATATAATTGGCATAAATTAAATAACTTTATCTAATAAAAAAAAAATGTATAAAACACAACGTTACAAAAAAATTTCTTTTCCAAAATAAATGTTACACGAATATATGAATCCTTTAATCCTTTTGAACCAATCATATTTAAGAATGGGTCGATAATATTATCATAAACCCAGGGTCTATGCTTTTTCAAAAATGATTATACAAATATAGAATCAGCTTTGACCGTTCTCTTCTTTCAATCAAAATGCATTTGAAGCCCTCTTGATTATTTATAAGAAAAATGAGACATTATTATTCTAAATTATTCATAAAGTCAACCTCCATCGGATTCACGAAAACGTGAAGATACACTCGTCGTCTTTAAATGAAATACTACGGTACAGCGATGAAGTTGCTCGTTAGCTATCGTTATTCGTTATTTGTTTTGGATATCATTTGTCATGTCTCGAAAGAATGGCTTATATTTTCGTTTACTTCTAGTCTCCTGTTCCTTTGCAACCATTGAATGAAGGTTTGAATTATAATAATAATAAAATAAAGGATATGATTAACGTAGCCAAAACATTATTTTTTGCAAAAGAAAGATGCGTGCGAAGACAATATCACTAGTGAAGCCAGTCGAAAGGCGACCGATACAAATGAAGACAATATCACTAGTGAAGCTAGTCGTAAGACGACTGTGACGAATCTAAAATAAAAGGTAAAAAGGCTATCTACTTTCAACCTTCTCCATGAATGTTAACGCGGAGATTGTTTTCAGAAATCTCTACAATACGCGTATATAATTTCTAAGTTCATTATAATATATAATTTTTTTGCAAAATAACAGTTTTATATTTTTTTTATACCATTAATGAAATAAAGGAAAGTTCTAATTTGTTAATTAGAACGATACTACCTTCAATGAAATTAGAAAATAGGAAAGAAATAGCTTAATTTAAGAAAGTTACATTTAAAGCAAAAAAAAAAGATTGCATAATTAAATAATTTTACCTAGTAAAACTAATGAACAATGAAATTTTCTTAATTTACGGCTTTATTCCTTTACTTTGTAACTAAATAACATCAAATACAAAATTTTCAGGCAAAAAAAGAGTTACCATAATTTATAATCCTTAATTTTTTAGAAGACCAATATCAATTTAAGAAATCAAATTGTTGTTCCATTAATTGAAGCCAATCTGATCATCAATTATAAAACTAGAGTTTGCAGTTTTGCGGGGACTTCGTCCACGTTTAGCAATTAAGTAATTGATTGCATAACCAATAAAAATATAAAACCAAATTTTTGAAAACATTTAATTACATTGATAAAAAGGAAGTTTAATTTTTATTAATTAAATTAATTTTTCTAATTTAATTCACAATTCGCCAGAAATGGAAAGAAAATGCATAGTGCAGATCGGGGCAATTTTATATAATCAATTATAAAAAATCCAAAAATTGCAAAACGTCATGTTACACTAACTCCTGATTTAATCAGAAAACGATCCAAACTTGCATAATAAAAAACGTCACTTAAAACCAAAGTTATTTATTGTATTAATACGTAATATACACTTTATTTGACATATTTCGCGCAATTGCATTTCCGGTTCATGATTATGGGTACCAACTGTCTAATTGGAATAATTCAAGAAGAAAAAAAAGTAAAAAAAAAGGATCAAAACCGCTTAGGTCATTCTTAACAAAGGTATTATTTGCGATTTTTATTATTATTTGGCCAAGTTTTGAATTTTTTTCGCCATTGCTTGCTTGTGTTGGCGGGAATACTGACTGATCCAGTTTTCAATTGTTTTCAACTTTGGTATATCGCTCTCTTCGAGCTCATCTATTTCCACTTTCTTTTGCAGCGCTACAAGCATTTTTTTTGCTGAATATCGCTCACTTTTGTGGGTGTCACTGGCGTGAAAGAAACCTTTCAATAATTCCATTACTCCTTCAGGTATGTGTTTTCTGCCACCTTTCTTTCTGTATTCCTGGTTTTCTTTTAAAGCCCAACCAGATCGAAAATAGTTGACTCTGTAGAAACCAATATCATCAGATATTATATAAAATATCGTGATATTTTCCTATTTTTTTTGAAGCAGTTGAACTCACTCGCTTTCTATTTCTATTTTCTTTTTTTTCTCCTTTCCCTTTTTAATCCTTATTTCCGAAATATTATTATTTTTCACCATGCTATTTATGTTAATCGCTGTTCTTGCTTCTACATAACAAAAAGAAGATTAGTTGATTTAGTTGGTTAGTTGGATTTCATTACAAATTCAATTGCAAAAAAAATTTTTATTACCTTCTATTTTATTTATCATTTCACATGCAATATTTTTGTTCAAAATTGCAATTAACTCTGGCCGATTCTCTTTCTCACCACAATACAGAGATCTTTTTTCTAACTCCTCTTTAATATTATTTTTCATCAACCTCTTTATCCTAGCTATTTTATTTTGGGAGGAGTTATGATTTATTGATAGTAATGAATTATCCATTTAGAATCTGTATTTGTATGCGTGGAAATTAAGGGATTTGGTCGATATTATTCATCACCCTTCATTGATTTACTAATAGTAGAAGGCGAGAAGTCATTCCATTTTTCAAAATTGGGAAGAGCACGACAACGCATAAAACTACTGAATTTTCCATCAACAGGCCACTGAAATTCAAACTAATTGGAAATGCCAGCTATTACAGGTTTTTTCCCTTTCTGTTTCCGTTCCGGATTAATATTTGCAATTGCTGTTCCTCTAATACCTTTGATTGCTTTTTCTATGTCTTGACCTTCAGATATATTGTATCCTAGCCTAACGTATCGTTTGATTGCATGAGAAATCTAGAAATATAATAAAGGTTTGTAAGCTATATTTTCACATTATACAATCTTTTTATTAACCTGGGTATGATATGAATCGATAGTGGTTTTAGCTTCTCCTGCTTCCAAAAAAATCCAACTTCGAATTTCCATATCATACCAAGATTTCCAGTTTGTAATTATAGCTATTAACTCAGCACAATAATAATAGACGCCATTATCAGATAAAATCCTTACCCACTTCAGTTTTTTTAAATGAATTAAAGACAACTTCAAAGCATGAGGTTGTGAATAACGCGTCTTGAACTGTATCTGAGGACCAATGATCAAAAGCTTTGATTTCTAATTCATGGTTATTAGCCTTTGTGTATACCAATATTGTATGTAGTGTTCACCCAGATTTTCCATAAAAGTCTGATTTTACCTCTCGTGTTGATTTTGGTAAAATTCTCATTTTATAATCCACCACAATAACAGCGCCTTCTTCACAAGAGTAAGAAAGTTTGCATTAAATTGAGTATTGAGGTATGTCTTGTGTACTTGATAAGACCAGTAATATTGAAGTTTTTTTCTATTTTCTATAATTTATTTGAAATCATTTGGCATAAGATAAACTAATTTATAAAAAAATTCTGATATCTTATTACATTGGTTGCAATTAGAAAAGTGGGGCTTGTCATATTCTCCAAAAGCATGTGGAAGACAGTGTTCAAGACATTCAACATGATAAGTATGTCCTAGACAATCTACTTAAAGTTCTTTTTCATATTCATACTTTAAATGCTGGCGAACAAATTTAAGTTCTGTAATTAATTGATTTTAATAAATTTTTTTGAGTAATTATTTTATTATTTTTATTAATCACAACTTCTAACAATATATTTATATTTACTTGTTGCTCTTTTTCGCTTATTCTTTCTATTATCAAAGTCTTTAGATCATCAAATACACCATATTCATATTCAGAATAAATACCACACAACCCTTTCAGATCTTCTCTATATACATAAGGTCCATCTTTTAAATGTGCCAAAAATGTTGTTCTTTTCATACCAATGGGATATAACTTAAAGAATTTTTGCCACAATATTTCTTTTTGATTTTTTAGATATTTGAGCAGTTCACCAATTTTCGTATCCACCTTGTAAGAACTCAAATTTACAATATTTTTATCAGCAAAGAAATTCTGAAACTGGTTTTCCATTTCTTCAATAATGCGAACTCGTGTAATAATTGATTTATCTATTACTGCACATTCTGGACCATTAACTTCGCAGTGATATCTAGCTTTTGCTATTATTTTAGACAATACCTATTTATAATATTGGTCGCAATTGTAAA